TGCTAAACAACTGATATCTATGTAGCGTTAACAACTGGCTAAGGCTCCACAAACAAATGAGCAATGCCAAAGTCATGTCCATCTTTTACATACAGTCTTTGGGTTTTATACTGTCGGCCAGTCTAAAATCTTGCCAAGCAAATTCTTTGTTTATAATATGCAAAACTATATGCTTATTTTCTCTGATTTGCTTTCACACTGTATAACACACATTCATTCTGATGTGGCTTTACTGACCTGCAGCCTTCAGGTCCATCTCTGCCATGTCTTTGGTAAGTTCACTGGTGCTGGTCACTACTGACCCCTCCCCTGAGATGTCGGGCACTGCGTTCCTGCGGCCTGTGCGATCACAGTTGATGAAGTCTGAATACGACGTCTCCACATCCATCATCTGCCCATGACCAGCGCTCTCATTACACCTGCCAGAGGGAGGAGGGGGTGTCAGACGGCTATGGAAGTGTTGCAAGAAGCAAATAAATCACTGTGTTGTCTCCTTTCAAAGCCGTGGGTGTGCTTTTTCCACTTTATCCTGTGCATTTCTACTTCGGTATAGCCAACAAGACATGTAAAATACTGGTAAGTAAGTGAAAAATCACTAAGAATAACCAAAACGGAGAAAAAAAGCAGCTACTTAGAAACAATTCTACAGTGGAGGGATCACCAAGAGGAAATTAATAAACAGATTAATGAAGGTGTTCGTAATTGCAATTTCTATTTTGGTATACAATTAATGACACTCTTAACATCTGTGCAAATTGGTCATCCTAATTACACTGGGGAAAGGGGCTCTCACTAACAGTTGGGCCTGTCGACTAGAGTTAATTAAACGTACTTACAAAAGAAAAAAGAAAGAAAAGGGTGAAAGCTTGAGAGAGTGCCAGTCAATGTGGAAAACAAGGGTAAAAACCTAAAGTCATTAAGAAAAAAACCCAGCAGGGATGTGGCCAGAAAGAGTCCCAGCAAAACAAAACAAACAAAAGATAATCAAGCCCCCATTAGCTTTTTATTCCTCTTCTGCTTCCTGTTCTCACTCCATACTTAACTAGGTCATGGACACCGCCAACCACTAAAACACTACAGAGTCAGTATTCCTCAGAGACAAGAACAATAATAATACTGCTCCAG